AGTTATTGTGAGGTTATCAGTATTTATTTATTCATTAGTTTTAATTTAATATAAGGTTTAGTGTATTAAAATAATATTGACTTAGAATTCCCAAAATGTTTTCTTCTGACTTCTTTCCACATTGCCCATAATCTATTTTTTTCTAACTTATTAATTAAGACCAAAACAAAAATATCAATATTTTTATATTTTAATTTTTTGTATACTTTTTCAAAATGTATGCTAGTTACAGTTTGAAACACAATATTATTTTAATTCAAACATTAAACTATATAAGTAAAAAATAACTTTAACGTAAATGAGCCCTTAGAACTCTTTAACAATAATTCCTTGTATCCATAATAACCTTCATTCAATAAACACATCATTTTATTGAACTGAGGTAAAGTCAATAGAACTCTGATCATATTTTTTCACGTTTTTCCATAATTAAGCATAAAATAGCATAATGCTATGAGTTTAGGTACGTATACTTAAATACTGCAGATATTATACACTGCAGTCTTCAACATTTGTTTTTAATGCACATTTTTTCATACATTTTTTTTTAATTCTTAAAATTCATTTGCCCGCGGGCGCCCATAATCCCCTTCAATTTTTTTTCAATAATTTAACTTAAGTGCATTGCTTTATGTTCTAATTATCGTAAATAAAGCTATGAGTTTAGGAATACTGATATTGTAGACTGCAGTCTTTAATATTTGTTTTTAATGTACATTTTTTCATAAATTTTTTTAATTTTGATTCTTACAATTCATTTGCGATGGGCGCCCATGGCCCCCTTCCCATTTTTATTTTTAAATTTAAATCCTATCATATTTTTTTATAATTTTTTTTATTTTGATTCTTACAATTCATTTGCCTGCGGGCGCCCATGCCCCCTTCCCATTTTTATTTTTAAATTCATATCTATAACATATTTTTTTATAATTTTTTTTATTTTGATTCCTAAAGTTCATTTGCCTGTAGGCGCCCATGATCCCCTTCAAATTTTTTTTTATAATTTTACTCTAGTTCAATTTTTTAAAAACAATTTTTAAATTTTGATAACCAGTTAGTTTCTTACAAATATTCATTGTTTCATGATCTAATTCTTGTAAATAAAGCTATGAGTTTAGGCATAGTGATATTGTAGACTGCAGTCTTTAATATTTGTTTTTAATGTAAATTTTTTTATTTTGATACTTAAAATACTTTTGCCTGCGGGCACCCATGACCCCCTTCCCATTTTCATTTTATAATTTAAATTCTACCTAATATTTTTATAATTTTTTTTTATTTTGATCCTTAAAACTCATTTGCCTGTTTGCGCCCATGCTCCCCTCCCTATTTTTATTTTTAAAATTAAAGCCCATAAATATTTTTTTATAATTTTTTTTATTTTGATCCTTAAAATTCATTTTCCTGCGGGCGCCCATGCCCCCCTTCAAATTTTTTTTCTATTCAACTGTAGTTCAATTTTTTAAAAACAATTTTTAAATTTTGATAACCAGTTAGTTTCTTACAAATATTCATCGTTTCATGATCTAATTCTTGTAAATAAAGCTATGAGTTTAGGAATACTGATATTGTAGAATGCAGTCTTAAACATTTATTTTTAATACACATTTTTTCATACATCATTTTTTATTTTGATTCTTACAATTCATTTACCTGCGGGCGCCCATGCCCCCCTTCCCATTTTTATTTTTAAATTTGAATCCAATACAATTTTTCAAATTTTTTTTTTATTTTGATCCTTAAAACTCATTTGAATGCGGGCGCCCATGCTCCCTTTCCTATTTTTAATTTTAAAATTAAAGCCCATTAATATTTTTTTATAATTTTTTTTATTATGATAATTAAAATACTTTTGCCTGAGGGCAACCCATGACCCCCTTCCTATTTTTATTTTATAATTTAAATTCTATCTAATTTTTTTATAATTTTTTTTTATTTTGATTCTTAAAACTCATTTGCCCACGGGCGCCCTGCTCCCCTTCCCATTTTTATTTTTAAAATTAAATCCTATCAACATTTTTTAAAAATTTTTTATTTTGATCCTTAAAATTCATTTGCCTGCGGGCGCCCATGATCCCCTTCAAATTTTTTTTATAATTTTACTCTAGTTCAATTTTTTAAGAACAATTTTTAAATTTTGATAACCAGTTAGTTTCTTACAAATATTCATCGTTTCATGATCTAAATCTCGTCAAAAAAGCTATCAGTTTAGGAATACTGATATTGTAGACTGCAGTCTTAAACATTTATTTTTAATACACATTTTTTATTTTGATTCTTACAATTTAATTGCCTGCGGGTGGCCGTGCCCCCTACCCATTTTCATTTTTAATTTAATATTCAATCATATTTTTTTATAATTTTTTTTATTTTGATTCTCACAATTCATTTGCCCGCGGGCGCCCATGCCTCCCTTTAATTTTTTTTTTCAATTATTTAACTATAGTTCAATTTATTAAACCCATTTTTTAAATTTTGATAACAAGTTAGTACCTTATAAAAATTCATTGTTTCATTATCTAATTATTATTTATTTTACAATAAAGCTTTGAGTTTAGGATACTGATATTGAAGACTGCAGTCTTTTATATTTGTTTTTAATGTACATTTTTTCATACATTTTTTAAAATTCATTTGCTCTCGGGCGCCCATGCCCCCTTCCCATTTATATTTTTAAATTTCAATTCTATTACATTTTTAATATTTTTTTTTTATTTTGAATCTGAAAACTCATTTGCCTGCGGGCACCCATGCACCCCTACCCATTTTTATTTTTAAATTTATACTCTATCATATTTTTTATAATTTTTTTTATTTTGATTCTTAAAATTCATTTGCCTGCGGACACCCATGCCTCCCTTCAAATTTTTTTTCTCAATTATTTAACTATAGTTCAATTTTTTAAACCCATTTTTCAAATTGTGATAACAAGTTAGTACCTTATAAAAATTCATCGTTTTATTAACTAATTATTGACAATAAAGCTATGAGTTTAGGAATACTGATGTTGTAGACTGCAGTCTTTAATATTTGTTTTTAATGTACATTTTTTTAATTTGATTCTCAAAATTCATTTGCCCGCGGGCGCCCATGAACCCCTTCACATTTTTATTTTTAAATTTAAATTCTATTACATTTTTAATATTTTTTTTTTATTTTGATTCTTAAAATTCATTTGCCTGCGGGCGCCCATGCACCCCTTCCCATTATTATTTTTAAATTTAAATTCTATCTGATATTTTTAAAATTTTTTTTTTATTTTTTAAAGAATTCTGCAGTTCGATGTGACACTCGTCATCTTTTGNTCCATCATATTTTTTTATAATTTTTTTTATTTTGATTCTTAAAATTTATTAGCCCGCGGGCGCCTATATCTCCCTTCACATTTTTATGTTTAAATTTAAATTCTATCTGATATTTTTAAAATTTTTTTTTTATTTTTTAAAGAATTCTGCAGTTCGATGTGACACTCGTCATCTTTTGAATTTCCACTGCTTGAAAAACTTTATGTGGAAATCCTAGATTAAAGTAAGTAAAATAATGCTTCAAATAAGTTTTTTAAGTTGCTTAAACATATTTTGAACTAATATATTATAGTTAAAATATTTAGTTTGTACAGATGTTATAGATATTTAAATTTTTTCACATATTATTTCTTAAAAATAAAAACAAAAAATAAAATAAATGTTTTCAATTCAAAATTACGTATTTCAGTAGGTACTTGTAGTTATAGTGTATAATGTATTATGTAGAATATATAATTTATAATGTATAATTACCTTTATATTGTAGACAATTTAGCATAAATAAATAATGTTTGGCATAATTTTGATATAATTTTCCGGGTATATGTCAATTGCGCCAGAAATCACAGGTAAGGAAAAAAAAATTATGGGATTCAAAAAGGTTATACATCAACTGCGCCGGACGATATTTAGATCCAAAAAAGATTATACATTAATTGCGCCATCAATACTGAAGTTGAAAAATAAGCTGATTACACTCTAGGCGATTTGAACGTACTCGTCTGCGTTTATATTACAGACGGACGATTTAAAATCGCGACGTTTTAAACTGTACATACTATACGTTATCTATCTACATGCAATAAATTGGTCAAATCGGAATATCCGCTAATATAAATGAGATAACATGATAATATGACGGTACTATCAATATGTTTCAATTTGTGAAGTCGGTAAGTCACCATTACAAGAAATGAAATTTTAATACTTTTTGACAATTAATTCATATGTAATTTATCATCGTTTATTTATATGTATTTTAATTTTTTTAATTTTTTATATTTTTTAAATTACACTTTTTTTTATATGGCGCAAAAGACGTATACCATTTTCGTTTGGGATAAATCCACCGGCGCAAAAGATGTATAAATTTCAGGTAGTCTAGAAAAATCGGCGCAATTGACAAACACCGAATTTTCCAGTGACTGCTTGACAATGACTAATGAAAATAGCACACGTTCTATTTCAATAAAACCATATTAGTCATGACTGAAGACAAAAATGTTTTTTTTTTTGACTACGCTTTATCAGTGTTCGTGTTTTCCATAAAATATAAAGGTTTTCTTTTTGATTAGTCATAATAAAGCGACTTTAGTCGCTTTATAGCAGTTTTGCTTTACCAGTGTGCGGTCACCCATAGAGTTGTATCAAACAGGTTCTCGCATTCCTTTTATTCTTGGAGATAGTCACCTTTTTATCCGGCAGAAAGCAGTACGTTAAATTTAAAAACTTTAAATCAGGGGTAACCAACGTATGGCTGGCATCTTATTTACAAAAACCAAAATGTGCTTATTATTATTATGAATTAAAAAAATGTTTTTATTGTATCGACAAAAGAACAAAAAACATATAATAAAATAGAAATAAATAAATAAACGTTTCTATATAAGTTAAATATTTTTACGTTGTAATTACGTAAAATTGTATTACTTGCCTACTATTGTTCAACGATACCTAAATGATAACACACCAAAATACAAATATACCAATCAGCTATATTAAATTACTACCATGAAGACTAGAATATTCTAGTCTTCATGATTACTACATTAAATGACACACTATAATAATTATTTACAACCATTAACCATAGGTACATGTTAGTTTAGGTAGGTACCCGCATTGATAAAAAATATGAATAGGTATATAATATGATATATTACGAACCCCCAACATGTATGGTAATATCATTGATTAAGTTCACATAATATGTGTACTTAACCAATGGTATCATATTAGATTAACAGGCCCCCGTAATTTTACAAAAAATATTACAGTTAAAAGACACTGAATATTATAACCGAATCGACATGATTGAATTACATATAATAATGTTATAATACTCGATCTTGGCACTTATATTATTAATAAAGTGTACATTTGTACCTATATATTATGATGTTATATACAGTCAACAGATCGGTAGGAACTTTTGTTGAGTTATAGGGATGGAATGACAAAACAGCCGTATCGCGTTGACGAATAGTATTTATCTCGGATAGGTAAGTACCTACCAATTACTATTATTAGTTATTATTACTGATGACTCTCAACACTTTTCACCCCATCCATAAGCAATACAATCAACTGTTTTTATTTTATCGCACCATATTTAGTACCATTTGGGTCTTTCAAAATATCCGTTTGGGGTAATTCTTGGTACGATTCTCTGGTTTCCTTTCGGTGCTGCAGATAGAGCCACCTAAAATAAAACAACGAAATTAGTAATTATACGTCTTACATGTTATATGTATTATTATTTATTAAGATTTATAAAATTATAACTTATAACTTATAACCATAGTTGTCCTACAATAACGTTTTTCGAAAGACCGATATTATTTAATCTCCAGTTAGTTTCAATAACGATATAATAATGGATATTGGATGGATGCATCGATAACCATTATCCGCTACAATTTTATTTTGTCAACTAATTACAGTCTTCAGTCATCGAAGTAAAATGTATCCAAAAATGAATGAATGTATAATCCCAATGGAATAGAATTTTAGAATACAGTTATTATGTTGTTAATGTCTTACCTCTGCACCACCATAATGCTATATTATGCATTTATACATAATACAGGCATAATACACACAATTTCAACAATGTCACAATTTACAGAAAACGTATTGGGTATAAATTTGGTAAATTGTATTTCTAATTCTCATACTTATAATAATAATTCATAATTAAAAAAAAGCTGATCAATAAAATATGACAAAATTAAATAAAATGTCTTATACAGCCGAATTATACGTAGGTAAGTATAGAGGATGGCTTAAAGTGACTTAGGATATGGTCTGTTTCAGTGGCGTAGCTGAGGGGAAAGGCGATGGGTGGATGACCCACCTTCCCCCCTTGTAATTTTTTATTGGTAATGTTGTAATCACGATTATAGCCTTTATGGGTAATAAATAATATAATTCACTAATAGTATACGATATAATATTTAAATAGCTCATCCTCCCTCGAATAAGCTTAAGCTACGATACTGGCCTGTTTACAGATGATCGTAGGAATAATTCTAAATAAATTCATCATAATAATATTATGCGAATATATAAATAACAGATAATAGCTATATAATATAATTTTATACTTACAGATAGAGAAAAATGGTCGGGACCGTTATGGCCGCAGTGACTAAGAAATAAGCGCTAGGGAAGAAGTCCACTGTGGATTCGTACACGTAGCTATACAATGGACCACACAAAATGGGTATAACATTTTCCCCAATGCCTGTGACTGCGCTCACTTGGCCTACAAAAGAAAAACCACAGAGAAATTGTAAATCTGTAATATATGATAACAATATGTATGGGAATAGTATAGGCATCGATACTCACCGAGTTCTTGGGCCGGAATTATTTTGTTTACGATCGATTTCATGGAAATAATGGCCGGTCCTTGTAAGCAGTTCACAAGCGCCCCTGGAATCGAGATTTTTCGTTACATCATAATAATAATACTAGTTCAAATTTACAATATTGGAGGTACAATAATATTAATGATATTTCATACTAAAAATATATTATTATTGCTAATTGTAATGCGTAGGTAGTAATATTATAATATTATGCCGGCATTCGTATTCGCACCGATAACCGTTGACGTTACTGATTTATTTATTTTTTTTCGACACTGTCACTCACCTGAATAGAACACGACTACACTATTGGCGAATGCGAATATGAATTGCGATATCAATTTTCCAGTAGTGGCCACAGTACCAATCAACGCGTCGTCTACGCCAAACTTCCTGACCACGACCCCGAGAACAACAAATGTTCCTGTAGGACAAATGTTCAAAAAAAAAATTCGTAATTAAGTATACAATGCCAACCGAACTATATGCAATATTATACTGAAGTAAATTTTTAATGTCACTGACCCACAAGATTGATGCACATCGTGGTGGTTGAGTACACGCTGAATTGCACTTCATTCCAATTAAACTTGACTCGAGTAAACAAATACGCAACGCCTTTGTCACCTATAGAATTCCAACGAATTATTAATATGAGTACCTATAGGTTTAATAAGGTATTTAAATAAGTCACAAATTCTTAAGATTTGAAATTTCGAAATGATATTTAGATGCATTGTGAGTGCATATTTTTGCATAATGTTACACAAATATAAGCAATTATTTTTATTCAAATAAATTTAATCTTAATTTTAAAATTCATATGACGTGGCAAAATTACTTAATTTATTTAAATTATTTTATAATTAAATATTATATTACATGAATAATTTGAAACGTAATAATGAATAATGATACACATTACTAAATAATATTGTATAATACTTATATTAATAATGTGTAACATTGTAACATAGCTATTCAAATTAATATATGGAATTGAATTAATAAATAATATGTAAAACGTTTTATATAGCTACAAACAGGAAATTTGTTAATAGTGGTAATTATAAATATAATATATAAAACTAATAAATAATTAAAATAAAGTATTAATATTAAATATTAATACATTTTAATGTTTCAAATTATTTTAAATTTTAAAATACTTAAACTCGTTTTGATGACATAATTCATAGTTTATGGAAAATCATAATGATTTCAATTAGGGACTAAATGTATTTAGTTATTTAATTTTTAATATCTTGAAGGTGTTAGTCTTGTTCAAATATAACTGATGTTTGAAATTTAAGACACTTTGAGCTACGTCGTTTATAACACATTAATGAAAAAAAAAAATATAAAACAGATTTATGCGATTAATACAATATAGTCTATAGTCTTGCAGTACAAAAATTAAGGGCGGGGATTTAAGATAACTCGGGTCTTTGAAGCTGTTTTTTCATAGTAATACCTACATGTTTCGGTTTCACATGCCCGGCGGCATGCTACATGATGCTTGGTTACTAGGTGGCTGGTTCTCACCGTTACAGTTACGTTGCGCAATATGACTGCATTTCGGAGGGAAATAGGTACCTACTTAATCTAAATATATTTTGACCTTCAAATCCCCTATAAGTTGTTCGCAAACTAACATAAAATCTCAATAATACATAAACACAATAGTTTTTGTACACATTTCAAGTTCGAATTTTAGCAAAATTGGATAATATTTAAACACAAAATTATGATTTTATTTATTTTGTTGTACTTCAAAATATATTATTATTCGTATAGACTTGAAACTTTTCGTCACTACCTATAATATGTATTATTATCAGTTTATTATTTTTAAAATACATAAACTAAATTCTTAAGAAAAATAAATAAAAACTTTAAATTTAATGATATAAATGTGTCTAATAATAATTTAAATTGCAGAGTATTCAGGTTCTGGTCAGCAATAAGAATAAAAAATATGTTAGATAGGTAGATAGGTATTCTTTTATTTGTAAATAATCAAAATACGGCTTGTATAATTTCACTGATTGATGCGTGTTAATAATAATATACCTATACCTTTATTTCAGAATTTAATTTGTTTACCTATTAGGCAACTAAAAATAGCGGAATGTACACCTATCTAATGTACTTAGGTAATATGAATGAGAATAACAAACTTATATGAAATTACTTGTTATTACCTAATTATTATTTTCCCCTGGAGATTTAAAACGTCGGTTAAAAAAGAATCTCGTCGATTTTTTTAGTAAACTTAGACGATCAACGATGTATTATGAGCAATAATATTAATTATTATTATCTATTATTATTTATTTATAATATATGTATAGGCAGACATATAAAATGTTTGTTTTATCAGGATGACGAGTTTATGTGTAGATTCTGTTGAAGAGATCAAATCGATTTATTCATTAATAGTAAAAAAGAAATACTATTTGTTTATGTATATAATTATTTTCAATGTTACTCAAAAACAAGAAGAGTTGAGTATACCATAGTATCAATTAAATTCCGATAAAAATAAAAGTATATCAATATAATTGTTTAATTTCCAGGAAATATGTTATAACTATTATTCGGCGTGGCTATTCGACGTACAGAAGAACTGATTATATTTATATTAAATTATTAACACTTGTTATTTTATAATTGTTATAAGATAATATGTTTTATTTGAATAGGTTCAATCATCAGACGCAGTTCTTTGAATTTATTAAAAAAATATTTGAATGAATTATTTTCATGTTATTTATTCAGGTTTATTGTGTGGGTTTATCTATAATCTATGTTATTAAATATTTTTTTTTACTATTACCTATATTGTTACTCGAATATTATTATATTACTTATACAAAGTTGAATTTGATTTACCTGGAGTTATTGAATGTTAAACAGATGAGCACTACTAACTATTATTACAATTATTATGACCTGATGTGACGTGGTGGATGGCTTCAGTCACTAAAGTGTTCTGAAGTCAAGCATCAACTGGTGTCACTATAGTTCCCGGATGGGTGACCACCCAGCTTTTCACTGACAAATTCTAGCCAATATTTACAAGTGTTCTAATCCAATCGTATTCTCCCGCATAATAATAAACCTACTAAATATAACTTAGGCTAATGGCCTCAGATGTTGAAGCCTTATCAACTCAATAAAAATAAAAAATAACTTTTACGATACTGTCTATACTTACAACAAAATATTATTTAAAAAATCATTATACCTAAAAAATATATTAATAAATTAATGTACCTTGCAATGGACCCATGATTCCAGTTATGAGCAACGTCAGAGCGATAACTTTCATTCTTCTATTGTTTTTTTCCTTTTTGAATGTCACTTTGAACGCATCAATTATGTGATTCAAACTGAAAAAGAACTTGATACGATTCCAATAAGACCTTTCGTTTTTCTTACCCGAATTGAATTTTATTTGTTTTGTATCGTGAACAAAAATGTGAGCCATCCAAATGCTGATGCAACAGAGTATCAAAGCTATGATGTATACTCCTGTGAATCCAAGTTCACGATATAATATACCTGACAAACCAGTGCCTATAGGAAGACATAAGGCCATTGTTGCGTTTACAAGACCAACTCTTAAGGTTTTATTTTGTTCCTAAAAAAAGAGGTACATTATTAATGTATATTGATTTTAACTACATAACTAAATACTTAAAAAAAAACATTTTTTCAAAAAGAGTGTAAGGGTTCAATGGGAAGTATGTTGTTTTTTTTTAAAATTTTAAATCCAATTTTTTAAGAAAAAAATTATTTCTAAGAGTTTGGTTGTCCGTTTTTTTAAGTATAGTAGTTTTTAAGAACAATAGAAACATCTATATATTCAGTCTTCATTATTTATTTTTTTTAAATAATAACAGCTCTTTGAACGCATTGAGTTGACATAACTGATAACTGTAAAGAATATAATTTTTTTATTCAATTCGTTCATATTATTTTATTCTTTCCGTGGGTCGATCACAACATTTGTAGCAAGGACTAATGTGACGAATACATCAGAAGATAATGGGTGAATATCGAATGCGAAAATAAATTTGAACATATGAAGAATTATCAAGTACAATAGCCGAACTAGTAGAAGTTAGTTTAAAACAAAGTGATATCAAAATTATTTTTAAAAATAAGGAAAATAATAAAGTAAAAAATTATCGACCAATTCTTTTTTAATTAAAATTTTAAAATGTTGCAATATCAGTTGAAAAATTTTGAAGGAATGTAAAATTAGTAAACTAAATTTTCGTTTCTATAAATATGACCTTCGTGTAGTTAATAAAGGAATGTCGTAAGCAAAATAATTTATGCATTTCTTCAAGGAGATAATGATAGGTTACACCACCATGGAAAAATAATTGTGTGAAATCGATGGTTATAATGTTAAATAAACACTAAACAGTGTTTTACTAATTATATATATTATTACAATTACTAAGTTAAAGTTAGGTAAGTACACGATGTTTTTTGAAATAAGTTGATAGTCTATCTTAGAATATTATTTTTACCAAATAAATTTTTTGTCTTTATCTAACGAAAAGTGACATTAATGAACGAATTAGTAAACATTTTAGTTAGTACACTTTCACAACTCACAAGTGACTAAGACACATATTTTACTTCCTTCAGGTAATCAAAACAAACATAGTTATATTATTTAACTGTTATCATATCCTACTCGGGACTTAAGTGCATTTCTTGGATAGTCAAATTTAATATTATAAAATAATAATGTAGCATTGAACAAAATAATTTATTTCCAATTATTTATTACACAAGATAATTCTTATGTAATCTCTACAAGAAAATGAGTGGCCAACTTAAAAAATTATATGATGATCATGATACTCACAACACCAATAGTTAGCAATATTGTGAAAGTTGTGCAATATTATAAATTTATTAAGAAAACTAGGAAATTCGATGAATAACTTGTGTAAAGACATTAGAGTAGATACCTACTATATTTCAAATAACTGTTAGCAATAATAGATAATTATTTATGCAACTACATCTTAGTACTTAAAAAAAAAATGGTCATTGGTATAATAATATATGACTCTCTAAACTCTGAAGTAAGTATTCTTTAATTACTCAACAGAAATATATTTGCTTAGTAATCATTATTTAAATTTAAAAAAAATCAGATTATTGATTATGGATACCTAACAAATGCTTGTATGAATAACAAAAATTTAGTGACGTACACACGAGTACATAAGCCATAAGGTATACAATATAAATTAAATGACATATTATGTATCAATAAATTAATGTCAAATTCTTTACAAACCAATAATAATCAATAAGTATCAAAACTGCCCAACACCCAACTTCTGATCGAATGTGGCTTTTTTTATTGGAATTCCAGTTCTTATGTTTATTATTTTCTATTTTCATTAAATAAACTGATTTTTGGCACATCTAAGACAATAATACATTCAAAAGTATAGATGTAGTAAAGATGTAACTGCAATTGAAGGCGTTCGTGTAAAACAAGACAACTCCGACCACCTGTTTAGGAAATATAATGTAACTGGAGCTGTTTGGTTTTTTTCAGTTCAAAAAAACCAGATAACGTCGAGATTTTTTTAGTCTCTTGAAATTTTTTGAAAAATGGAGTTGCCTCTTTTTTATACTAATCGCTTCAATTTTTATCAGCGCGACGAATATATTGGTCTTACAATGGTGTGTGTTTTTTTTACTTATTTTAGTGTTGTGTCTTAAGGGTGTACCTTGGGAGAAGTAAAAATGTTTCGGTTTTCAACTTTGGCTGTGGTTTTTGGTAGAAACGCGGTTTATAACAAACAAACCATCAAAATATGTCCTAATCATAAATATGTACTAAAAACCCAAAATATGCTTTAAAATGTCAACAAAATCATAAATCGTATTTTGTTGATACCTACTTGTTTAACATACAAAACAAATATGAGATCACCCGGGATAAATATGCAATAATATATTATGTAATTTATTATTAGATATAATTGTGCTTTTCTAGAAAATGTAATCCAAAAAGCCGTAGCCGCTTACCGTGCTGTGGTCGCCCACGTACGAGAACACGGCCATGTACATGACCGTCCAGTAACCGGTGACCGCGATCGGCAGCGACTGCCACAGGCCCGTCAAGTTCATGGGCAGTTCGTCGAAGAAGTAGACGCACACCAGCAGGCCCAAGTTCCTGACCACCTCTCCGTAGACGGGCAGCAGCATGCACGGCCGCCGTAAACGGTTCCGGTCGCTCCACGAGCCCAGGAACAGCACGAAGACGGCGGGCACGCTGCTCTGCAATATCGTCTGCCAGATGAGCATATCCGCGACCAGCTTCTGCACGGTGATCTCGCTGTCGGTGAGCATGCTGGAGTTCTTGTCCTTGTTCTCCAGGTCGTCGCACACTTCCGTACTCAGTTTCAGGTCCACCCGGCACGCCTTCTGGATGTTGAGGTTCTGGTTGGCCAGTATGACCAGTATAGACGCTATCAGGTACGGGAACAACATCGGTTCGACGGTTATGTTCCGTAACAGCATTTGGCGCAGCGGTTCCTTGTCGCCGCCACTCTTCGGCGGTTCCATCGCGAGACGATCTGTCTTCGTCGCCGGTACGTCGTTATTCGCGTCTCCGTTCATCGCTGTGTGACGCTTTTGATATTATTGTGGTTTTTGGTGGTGGTGTTGGAATCGTTCCATGCCTTATAAGAAAATAAAATACATATAATATTTTTGAATCCATAATAGCTTATTTTTCAGAATGTGTTGCTATTTATAAATCAAAGCGTATTTAAATCATTTGAAAAATGATAAGTCAATATTTATTTTTATATCATAATTTATAATGTGTGCTAATAGGTGGCTCAAATAGTGTACCTGATAATAAGGTGGTGTTTGATTTATCGATATGGCTATAATAAAAAATTATCATGACTGTGTGCGAGTTCTGAAAGAACTTATGCCTACCTATTCAGTTGTACAACTTATAATTGATGCCAGTATTTTATCAGACATTCAGACCGCCAATGTAAGTTTGTTATAAAATTAAAAAAAAAAATACATTAATCATTCAGTATAGGTGATTTAGAAATCTTTGGTATCAAATACTTATTTGGTAAAAATAATAAAACGAAAGAAGCAGTAGAACTTAATGTAAAATTCTTTATTATTTTTTGGGTTAACATAACATCTACGAGCTGCAGTTACCATTGATTTTTTAATTATTCATAAAGCATTTTTCCATACTAGGTACATAGAGTCGTAAATCTTTGTAGATCGTTTTTAATATATATTATTAATACTTGATAAGACATTACTAATTAATGTATCATTAAAATAATTTGATTTGAACTAATCATCACACATTAACTTATGAATTTAATGATTAAATAATTAAAGCCAAAAGACATATTTCTTTTAAGTACTTATTAAAAAAGAAAAATCAATTGAGATAAAAAAAATCTGACTTCTGTATTTATTGGTTCTATAAATTTTGATTAAGATTTGTGTAACAAAAATAGTTTAGTTATTCCGTAATAATATAATATAATACTTTATAAGTTATAATATTTAGAGTTAAGTATTTAAATTTATTATTTTTTAATAAATTAATAATAATGATTTTAAAAATTTGAATACCTACACAATTTTATAATTGTCGAGGATACCCAATTTTAAAACTATTTAGAACAGGCCGTGTTTCAACACACTTGCAATTTCATTTTCGATAATATGTAAGGCTCACAGAACAAATTATTCAAAGTACTCCACCTTGTTTGTCCTAGTAAATAACTTAGGCTTTAACTAATTGAAAAAATCCGATATTTGCTATCTGTAATCAGTGGTGGATTCAAGAGCAGGGTGGTCACAATATAAATAGTAAATATAAATGACTTCATTAAAAAAAATCTCTTCCAAATTTGTCATGCACAGATATAAATACAATAAAAATTAAATTTATCAACTGTGATATGGAATGGTTGAAAAATATTCTCAATGTAGTGTTGTGCTTTGATGCTTTACCAGAAAAAAATGTCAACTTAACTGAAAATATGTATTATAATTTATAATCCACACAATAAAAAAAAAAAAAAACCATTTAGCAATAAAAATTATGGTCTATATTGTGCAATTAATTTTAGCCTTAAATTGTGAAGGAAAATGAGTGCCATTAAATTCAAATTTAGTTTTAACTTAAAATCTAAAAACTAAAATAAAATTGGTCAAAAACCAATATTTTTGTAGAGCTGACATTTATTTTTCATTAAAAAAATAAATCCGGTAGAATATACGTGTTTATATCACTTGAAAATTAATTCAGCATTTTTTTTAATCTTTCCCTGTTTATTCAAAAATATATAGATCAATCCCCGGGAATCGTGAATATAAAAATCAAACTTCGAACAAGTAGTTCATTAATTATTAGTTATAAGACAGCAATTAAAGTGTTGATAAGCGGAGTAACAGGGCCAACATTTGGAAGGGTGTCTGTATATCACTCCACTCAGCTCATCTAAATTTCAAATTTAAATACACATAAGTTTTAAGTTTTGTAACAAATAAGCTATGGTCCAAAATTTAATTTTTATACGTCAAGTTACATGAAAAATTGATAAATTGAATAATGAATTATAATTTGTTTAGAAAAATTTGGTTTTTTAACGATTTAACATTATTTTTGAAAAAATATTTTCAAAAGCGTTGATTGTTTTTAAAATAACGAGTGTGTTACATCACATGGATCACCCGGTACATGAGACCCTGGTTTTCAATATAATATTATAGTTTAATGTTTTTAATTTTATTTCAAACTTTATTGTAAGCTACTAGCCTAGTACCTATATAGGCTATTGTATAATTATTAAAAAAAATTTAATTATAGTATATTGCGGCGATAATCAATCCTGGTCACTTTCAGAATTTGATAGAATGTTTCGAGGTAAACGTGATTTGAGTCCACCACGAGATTGGATTTTGTTTCATTTGTAATGGAGTGACGTCCTTTTATTAGGTTTCGATTTTTTTTTACATTTTTTACTAGTTATTAATCCAGATCCTAGGTTAAAATGTATCTATGGTATTCATACATTTATGTTGTTGTGTAATTGTTTATTATGCATACGTCAAGAGGGTTTTAAACATATTCTTAGGAATTTCTTTTGAAAAATAGGTATGTTGTTTGTAAACTTTTGTTTATGACGCTGCATTTCATATTTACACTATGAGTAAATGATAGTTTAGTGTACTCACTAGTCATATTATCAAGGTGAAAAATATTTAACAGATACGGTGTATGGTTTACTAAATAGGGTATAGGATTTTTATCCGGTTTAGATCTTATTATTAATGTGAGTTTTCCAGATTGGTTAGCAATTACACTATACTATAATATGATATTATGATGTATGAGTTATGTGAAATAATAGTGCAATTAAGTCTCTCAAGCCTTGGTGACAAAACAAACGGAATGGTTGATGCAATAAATTAATAAATATCTATTAAGGACAATAGTAAATTCCTCTGTATGAAGTTGCAAAAAAATCTAAGTAGGTAGTAAAAAGCTATTTGATCTAATATTTATATAGTGACGAATTGACATTTTTTATTGGATTTATCGATATTTACATTCGAAGTATTATAAATTATAATACACCCATAAATCGGAATTTTGTAATTTAATACAATGTGGTACATTTGTATGTACAAAATAATAATTTCATTACCTAATTTTAACTACATCCCCAAAGAATAGTATGCTGAAATCAAATTTTCTGAAACAAGTCCTAATATTTAAACTATTAAATTGTTCACAACATTTTATATATTTTTCTTATCAAAAAACAGGAAATAAAATAAATATTTTGTTGGTAATATCTGAAAAAGAGGCAATAGGTACGTAAAGAATACCTCAGAAAAGGCAATTTTTGTTTTACTGTTTATTACTAAGTAGCGTACTATACTATAATATACTATTGCGTATACTACTTAAATATAGGTATACACCGTATTATGCTTAATTTCTAACTATATTTATACTTATTCTGAATCGTTTTAATTGTTATAATGTTGAATAGTGGTCAATGGTCATTGATAAAAAATAATAAGTAGGTATTCGTATTCCTAAAACGTAATAGCTGGTAGAACAACTAATTAATTAATATATAAGATATGCCATGGAAAATACAATTTTCTAGCCTTAATGCCTGAACTATTAAAGTATTATTTTTAAGCATGTATAAGAAACCATAATTACCATCATTTTACCTATATAATGAGCGAATTTTATTATGTAAAATATATTAAATAATTATTAATGATGCAACAAGTTAATTTGAACACCCCGAAATATCCTTTTGGCCTTTTTTATCAATTAATGGCAATGATTTTAATTTTTATGGATGTTATTTTTCACTGTTAATATTGCTGTATTCTTACGTTTAGATTGTTTAGATTACCCAAACCTTATTAGTCTATTGCTACTACTGTTATTGACTTTTATAGTTCAAAAAATATAATTATTACTATCATTAGTGCTTCGTGGTTATGTGAGTGGATGAGCATTAACAAAATAATATTTATCTATTTAATAGATAATATATTGGTTATTTGTAGTAACTATAGTTTGTATTTTTACACGTATTTGAACAGTCAAGCGACCCTCCCTAACAAAAATAGTTGCATTTACTTTATATTAATTGTATTAATACATTTTATATTGTTAGTTATAGGAATACCCACTACTAAGTTTTGAAAGTCTAGTGGAAAAACAACATATTTAATGAGCAGTATGTAATAATAAGCTAAATCTGGGGATCAATTTTTTTTCTTAGTCATACAGTCGTATCTTGTAATTGGTTATCTGTAGTTCTATAAAAATTCTATTGAAATTAATGGAGTACTGATACTACATAGCGTTAAATGTGGTTGTTGGCCCATCCAAAGATGGAGAGGGGGGAGATAGTTTTTTTCTCATTACAGTTTGCTTTGCGCTGCAGTTTCACTAGTCCTGAGAGAAAAAACCGCCCATTACCCATAACCGAGAACGTTGCAAGTAGCGATTTATAAGAATTATAGACTAACAATATTGTCAGTGAAGAATATAAACATTTAAACATTACCACATTGGTAAAGCGTATTTATTGTATGAAATTAAGAATGAAGGTAGAAATACACTAAAAAGAAAATTGTGTTATATTACATGTACACAAAAATATGAGTACTGATTCATTAAGCCAAACATGATACGAGTTTATATTATTATCATTATTGATACCTAATTGATCGGGTCAACCACATATTTGAATATTTAATTTTGATTATATACCAGTAATACTAGCTGGAATTACATAGGTAGGCGTAAGGTGAAACATAACTATAGTCTATATTATAATATTATAGGCATGTCAATCTATCGAAACTTGAAACTATGGTGCCCATACATTTTCGCGGTCGTAAACTGAAATCAAACAGTATCGAATATTGACGAACGTTACATAATAAGAAAGGATTTCAGGATTATCTACTCCGTTGAATATTGATCATTACCTGACCGAGGTCCGAGAGTGACGGGAGTGGGACGTGATTTAGACTTTTTGATGATCGGAGTATTTTTGCGCAAGTTGTGAGGAGGGGTATACCGCTTTGGTCACGCCCAACAGAAAAAATATCTTCATCTTGGACAGACCACACAGATAATAGTCCTTAGTATTTATGTCATACGTATGTATCATGTGAAAGGTAAAATATTATTGTAGGTTAGTTTGCGAATATAACGTAAACAACGCGTGAAACGTTTCTGCAGTTGAAGAATCGTTGTTTTGATACAGATATCCTAAATTTCACACGCATACACACACACACACACACACACACACACGCCTACTTTATATTGTAATGCTATTGTAGGTTTATAATAATCGGTAGCTCACTTTTCGAAAGAAATGTGTAAATTGTGTTGTCAATAACAGTGGTTCATAACGTCGTTGGCACATTACCAAATTAGTAATCGTGTACTGTGTACAGTGTGATAAATGTTAAATAAATACCATATAAATAGGTTCCATAATAAATACAATTACGCAAAAATTAAATAATCTAAAAATATAAAGACGACATAGGTACTTACAGCCACAGCAGTAGTAGGACCCGAAGCGAGAGGACGCAACAAATGAAGATCGTGATCCCAGACGATAGGCAGTTTCAGTGAAAATTCACACGCACGATACGATAAATTATTATCATTAAAAAACAATACCGCTCTCCGTCGTCAGATGATGAAAACCACTGCGTCCGGTCGTCGGGCTGATGATGATGCGACTGCGTGTAGCTGGGCGGCTGTATAATATTACCTTAAAAATGTTGCACGCGATGTTGTTACCCGGTATCACGCGCGTGGTTAGTTCGTACCTACCTAGTACCTACCTACCTAATACCGTGTCCAGTGAACCCGGCTAGCTGCTGCAAACTGGTTATAAATCTCGATATTATGCCGCCGTCTATACACACGTGAGGCGTGCGTAGGTATACGCGTGGTTTTATACTGTATACCTAGATACCACTAAATAATTCTTATATTATGAGACATGCACGTCAAACTCGGGCCGGTCGTTACAGTTTGGTCGAAATTATAATACGATATCATTTAAATATCGAGAAAAAAACCGACTGAAGAAACATAGATTGTATTAACGTCCTTATCTGGGGTTTGATTGCAGGTCAATATTTAGATAGTTAACTGTACGTACTTAATAACATTAAAAACGTTGAGCTGTATGCTACATTATCGGCACTAATTTAATGGTTCCCGAATTCCCGATCTTCCGTATAATAATTATGTATCAGAGTACCAGTCGGATAATCAGTAGACACTAAACTGCAGTAATCACTTATGAAAATGACAGAACAATAATCATAAATTCATAATATTATAGATCTCTCGGTCTGTGAGGCTGACATCACAGAACACAGCTGGGTCCACGGTGAAAAAAACGAGTACTTACCAAGACTTATTTATTGTTAAGTAAGGCGTAGGGTATGTAGCCTGATTTTAGAACTGAGACAAGTATTTGTATGAGCCAGCAGTTCTCAACATTTTTAGTTGTGCGGACCACTAATTATATGAAATAAACCTTGCGGCTTACTTACCGAATAATTATAATATACAGGTATAAAATATAAGCACACGCACAAATTAGACGATACAAAAAATAACTTATAAAGACGTGTATAAAATCAAATATCAATCTCGATGTTTCTGCCAATCAAAATATGTTGATCCTTGACTTAGATTCTCTATCAGCGTCCGAGGTTCAGTACTACTTTTCTCGCGGCACACAAGTTGGCTCAGGCCTATGGTTGGGATTTTGGGAACCACTGGTATAAGCCATACAATAAGGTATTAATTTACCTCGTTTTGATAAACGAATTAACATATTTTAAAATCTCGTTCGGTGTATAATCTATACTTTATTACTTATCTATAAATCTATATGCTAAAATATTAAATTGCAAACTAGAAGCTTCTTTTTTGTGTTTAACACGATAAGTATTATCATAAGTACATATCAAGAAAAGTACCTACTTAACGGATTTTTGTACAGTTTTCACCAATCGTTGGTCATCGCATCACTTGAGAACGGTTGGACCTCATTTTTTTTTTTAATGCTCATAATTGTTCGTATAAGGTTTAATGGGAAAAAAGATCCCCAAAAGTTTCTCAGAAAATCGAAAAATTATGGAAAAATTGTAAATGATTTTTATTTTTTGATTGACTGACTAATCAACGTAGAGCCTAAACTATGATAGCCGGAGACTTGACATTTTCATGGTACCTTCGTATTACACGGTTGGTGTGTACTTAGAATTTTACAAAATTATTAAAATTCACACAGGGGATTTGCGATTTTTAATGGCAAAATTGTTTTTGTTTAAAATTGGTTGTCAATGGTTACATTTTACAAATTATTTGTTTAATAAGTACAATATTAAATTATATATATATAATATATTATATTATATTATTATATATATATATATATATATTAATATTTATTGTCACGTCGACATGATTGTTTCTGCTCACAGTGACTTATTATCCATTCAAAAAAATAAACGTTAAGTAACTACACTACACTACAATTAGTGTTGAATGTACTTTATCATTGAGTAAGCGAGTAAGTCACAGTAATAGTAATGTAAGTGTTCAATTTTAATTAAACGATAAATGATCGTAAATATACGAAAAACGATTCGGATCGAAGACGGTCTGTCAGCCTATATTAATAAGCATAATATTTTAAGTATATATTTATATGGCTGCAATGGAAATTAATTTTATTTAATGGTTCTGTATCAAATGTCATAGAGGAGGATGAACTCTGCTCGGATTTTTCTAGAACGTTGCAATCCATTTTTATAAAATGGACCGAAACGCACGGTAATAGTATATTGTGAGGCAAGGACGGGAAAGTGAGCTATTTCAGTTTAATCTAACCACATGTGAGGGCCGCATTTCACCCAAGACTCAATTACCTACCAGCATGAGCCACACATTTTTTTAAATCTTTATTTATTTTTTTTTTAAGTTCATCGATTACGGCAAACTAGCCGCTGTAATGTAAGGATCTGTGCAACAACCAGACTACTCCACGAAAACCATTTGATGAAAGAAAAATGTTTACGCGTCATGCAAGGCGGTTATAATGTGAATGTAAGATGTAACCGAAAGTGTATGTTTTGTAAGGACCGTGGTACAGATTTCAGTGTCTGGTTGTGCAGGGGATACGCACAGAACTTTTTGCGGTTTTTATTTTACCACCCGGCACTATATGGATTCTCACTTTACCGCCCGCTGGACTGAAAAAGATCGCTTTCCAACGCTTCAACCGTCATCGAAAACAAAACTTTCGGTGTGGACATGACAAAAAATGTATTTCATGGCATCAAAACTAATAAAGCGGGTAAGTGGATGTACGGTAGTTTGCAGGTAACCAAGTAAGTCAATGTAATGGATGGTGTTAAATTTTAATTCAATGATATGAAATCAGTGAATACATAAAACGATTCTGAGCGAATATGAGCTTGTCAGTCTGTAATATTACTCATTATATTTGATGATTGAAGTCATTTATTTTACTATAAGGTTTAGGTATTAGTTATACAGTAGGTTAAAATACATTTGAAAAGTCAAATAATAATATTTAAATAATAAAATATAATAATATACTCTAAGTTCCAAGTATCCACGAATACAATTTTTAAATTACAACAAATTAACTAAAATCGTTATTCTTGTTTTAAATATGTAATTACATCAAAATTTAAATTCAAATAACTATTAAAAAAACTGTGTTAATATATTTTTTAAATTTTTTTCTACAAAATTAACTAGTTGCGTGCACCTTTATGTTGTATAATGCATAAATATTACAAATAATAAATAGGTTAAGTAAACATATATGTTGCAATATTTAGTATTAATTTTGACAATATTTGAAATGTAAACGCCCATCAAAAGTTATTGTGGATTAAGGATTTACTATCAATTTTTTTTTTAATTTCTACTAACAACAACTTATTAGGAACCTTGTATTACATGTTCAAGGTTTTTGATCGAGCGAAAATTTGTTTATCGATATTAATTGTAAAAAAACCAATAATAATCGAAAATTTCGAAAATAAATAGCTCAACAACAGTTAAATGTTATATCGTATAGACAATTCTATTATAATATACATCCAGTGAATGTTTCATTTATCTACAGTCATTTGTTTTAGAGTTACACCTAAAATCAAAATCGATTTTTAGTAAAAGTTCCCGTTTATTTTTAATTTTTTGTTTGTTTTTCAAGGCGCTTTTGAAAACTCCTGAAAATTTTAAACTTTTACCTCCCGAACGCACCAACTAGATTCACTTTGCCACCAGAAAAGATACTGAAGTTGAAAATCGAAGCATGTTTTGACTTCTTATCGTGTGCATAGACACAAAAAAAACACACACATTGCTCCGCTCAGAATCTAAAATTCATACATAAAAAAAAATGTCTAACTAATTTTTAAATTTTGAATTTATTAAAACATGTATCTTTAAGGAGCAACACTTTATTCTATTATTGTTTACAGGCAAGTTGTCTGAATCCAATATAAATATATAATTTTATAATATTATAACGCTATTAAATATTAAGTAAGGGAACAATATAATAATATAATAACACTAAAATATAAGCTTGTGTGACGTATGAAATCGAATACATGGACCAGAAACTTATTCAAACTTCAGTCACAACATTTTGATAATTTAAATAAATACCTACAAATAAAATCAATATTATCATTTGTATTCCTCCAATTGAAGATTGTGATAATGTCTATAATATTAAAAATAGGAAAATTACGGAATCATGATTTATTCTGTTCATTATATCATTTTCTTGTAATTTTTTCTAATTTATTATTAAAAATTAATCTACAAATGTATGAATAAATAATATTATACTACCAAATCTGGTCATACAAGTTTATGTGACAGAATTTGGTGATTCGATCGTTTTGTCTTTAGTTTAAGAGGACACCACACCTGCATGGCTGCATGTGTTGTCTCCTTCTTACAAATTCGTAACAAGGCAAATTTATGCTCAGCAGATCACGTTTAATTCTGTTAGTTTCAGAATTAGAGTGAATTTACATTTTACAACTAGGTGGTAAAAACATTATCTGTGTTATATTGGTTTTTTAAGATGGTTCAATTTTTATGTAAGTCATGAGCATATTTAGTTTACCCTATATTGTATACTCATAATTTGCTAAAAGATTGATCTATCGTAAAAAGCGAACATAGTAACACAGATAATGTTCTTACCATTAAGTTTTATGATTGGTCGATTCATTCTAATTTTTAAACTTTGCCATATCACTTGTTTGTAAGACGAAGACAACACATGCGGTTGTGTGATCTTCGTAATATCACCAGTTACAATACATTATGTCCGGTTTTAACTTTTTATTGAAATTAAGTTCAAACACTTTTAATTAGTTTATTACATATCTATTTTATTATATTGGATGTTGACTTATATGATATCGTAGCTTATTTTTTTTTACGAATTTCTATGTAGGCATACCTAATTTTTTCTATTTCATAGAATGCTTTGAGTGTGTTGAGTTTAAAACTTAAGATCATACATACTACATAAACAAGTACATAGTATATAGAATATCTTGGATCTTGGTTACAATCTTTTTTCGGATTTATAAATTATTAATATTTTTTTTTAAATAGGGATCTTATGTACCTTTGCGGACATACGGTGGTACGCGTATCGTACCGCAACAGTGAGTGCTATATGCACAGAAACAAGTTCCGGTACGATATTTCATATTGTGTGCCAAGTCAGTATGCAAGCTACAACGGTACAATGTACCACACAAATAAAATGTTGGGTATCGCTACTGTACCGCTTACAGTGGGAAGTGAGCCCTTTTCCTATAATATGAACTAATAAAATATTAAATTATAAAGTATAATAATTATATAATTATATAATAATAAATAAAAAATAAAAAATGATAATATTATATTATTATTATTATTATTATTATTATTACAATATTTAATTTTAAAA